TATTATTGTGTTTTTCTTGATTGAGTTTATATAAGGAAGGTGCGACAGTAGTTTAATATATATATATATATATATATATATATATATATTGTTAATACATCCAATATGATTACATGAGCACCCATTCAGTGCAAGATAAAGAACACCTACCATTATCACCATCCACCAGAGGAGACGCACAAGGACCAATGATATCAGACCTTTGAAAAATTGTATCTATCTATCTATCTCTATCTATCTATCTATCTATCTATCTATCTTTGGATAGTGATTAAACAGTACATCACTGATAGGGTCATCTCCATTCTCCTCCTCTAATCACCAATTGCCAAGTATTATTAGACTATACAATGGAATAAAGCCTTAACTATTTTTAATGTATACATAAGAACTTTAAAGAACTTTCTGCCCATGCTTATTGAAAAGAGAAATGTTTCTAATATTAGGATTTCCCAAGCAAGAGTCTCCAACATCACAAAAAAAACCCCACATATTCTTGTAGCCTTCTGGCTATTCTGGTTTGCTCAGGTCTTCTGTCTGTTTCCAGGACAATCCAAAAACACAAATGTCATCCTGGTCAATGCACAGACCAAATGTGGCAAGATGTGGCAAATAAACACAACCACAAATGCTGGAAACATACAATAAATTTACATACACCCAGCCCAAAGGCTGAGACCCTTGTGCTGCACAGCACGGTGCCTTCTGATGGATGAAGGTAGAAAGTGAGGTAATTTACCTACTGGCGGGCACAAATAAGCTGCCACACCTTACCTGTTATTACCCTAAAAGAGCAGGAATCAGTGTATGGGTGTATGGTATGGGCTAGCATGCGGTGCAGCACAACAGCTTACAATCTTACACAAATCTACAATATTCCCCCTCCCATAACTGGTCCTGTAGCACGTGCCTGTGTATTCCTTCTGAGCAAAACGCCAGTCTGGCTTGAGTTTGTGGAATTTTATCAGCTCTCCAATGTGAAATGTCACTTTAAGTTGTGGAGTCCTTCCAATAACCAATAACAACACTTGTGGCCTGACACAAACAGAGACCCTAACTAACTAACTATAGGCCTGGACTCAGTCTCAAGGCGCCAACACTGAAATGAGGTGCGTGCACTATCTTACCGACTCGGGTCTGCTTTGCATCCGCTGGTGACTCTGAATAGAACAAATGTCTCTCCAACAAGCATGCGGTATCGCAGTATATGCTGCTTAGTTCCTCTGCTCTCATCAGCATTCCTGGCAGCAATCTTCCTTTCTCTGAACAGGATCAGGGTCTTGGACACGATCAGCTTCACTTTGCTGTAGCTCTGGTTACTGAGGGATGTTCTCACACCTGGATGCCATCAGATTCTCTGCTTACATGGCTCCTTCAGTCAAAATCCTCTAAACATGGCTTCTCTCTCTTCTTCCTGTTCTCTCTAAACTCTGTGTGAAAACCCTGCCTCTTCATGAATATAGAAATATCTATGAAGTCTGAGGCTGTGTTAGAAAAACAGTGACATCTTGTGGCTAAACTGCAGAATGTCAGTCAAAACATTCAATTTACTCCACACAAACAGTGTTCAAACAATGAGAGCTGTTTCCCCATCTCACATCTACCTAAAGGCTAGACTTGGTAATGGAGGCTTCATCATAAACAAAACATTACAAAGCCTTTGGGCTCTAGGAACAAAACAAGAACTAGAAAAAAAAAAAAGTCTGTTTTCCCCACTACAAATACAAATCCTGGAACCCCTCACCCTCACCCTGCGTAGTTGACACACTTATATTATTCACAATGCCTCCAGCTAGTTCCCCACATATGACACATAAAACTGTCAGTTTGTGATAAAGAATTTGATAGGGGGGTGACTTTTTCCCTCATCAGTTTGCAATACTATGTGACACATTGAAGCAACTCATACAAAGAAATAGCCAGTTTTATCCTTTGCTACAGTACAAGCACTACAGCAATATTACACTTGACTGACACAGGGACAATAAAATTTCTTACTCTACCAGTAAGTAAACTGAGTGGATCCTCATGAGAAAAATAAATTAGGAAATATATGGAAGATGCTGTCAAAGAAATATGACATTCTATCTTTTCATCCGAATTTACTTTCCTTGGCATTATCAATGTATGTTTAAAAAGCAACCCAGGTGTTAGAATAAACCCTACTTAAATAAATCATTGGTTTTGAATGGAGAAATCTTTTACTGCTATTTGCTGCATTCTAAATATAAGAAGCAGATGTAAAAAAATATTGGTAGTAAAGCAAAGCAGGCTTGTCACAGAGATATGAAAGATTTGTGCAGTTATAAAAATAGTTTCATTGGAAAAAAATCTACTGAATGATGCTTGACATCTGTAATATGTATCACGAGTTTAATAAAATAAGCCTGTTATGAGAAAAAGGTAGACTGAGTCACTGACTTGAAACAAGTACACAGCCTTCAAATTGCTACTTCACCTTGAGGCTCTGAAGGCCCCCAAAACTGAGAAGGGAAAAGTCAGGTTGCACACAATGGGGTTACTAAAACTGGAGAGTGCAAAATCTGGTGCAGCTGTGCACAGAAATCAGCTTCCAGGTTTTTTGTCAAAGCTTAATTCAACTAGCTGAAGTTAGGAGCTGATTGGCTACCCCATGCACAGCTGCATCAGATTTTGCATTCCGTTTTAGTAACTCAGTGTTGGCCTCGTTTCTCTAAATTTCACAAGTCTACAATAAATCAGCCTGTTGTTTGTGCCCAGCAGGGATGACACATTTGTAACAAACACTGTTCTCTAACTTGCCCCCCCCCACCTCAGCTATAAACACAAGAAGATTAATGCAAGGCATTTCCACAGCCTATAATGAACCCAAAAAAAAGTAAGGTTCTGATATGAATTTTAGGGGTGCCCCGCGATAGGTTGTGCCACTTCAAAGGCAGGTTTAGGGTATTAGCCAAGCATGTTATGTCATTGGCCATTTTATCCTTTCACTAAAATCACTGCTGTTGACATGTGTTTTGGAATCTGTCAGGTTTTACTTTATCATGCATTTTGGCAATTAAATATGGAGTATATGGCTAAAAATAAACATTCAAGAACATTTTATTTAAAAAATAATTATAACATAAGAAAATAATCATAACATAACAATATAATAACATCTGGAGGAACAAGAATAATATTTGAGAATTGAAAATTGAAAAGAAAAATAAATGTATTTTTTGCCAAAATAGATAAAAATATATATATTTTCAGTAAAGTGGAATGATATTGCTATTGGTAACCAAATTAATTTGCAGACCCTTTCTCAGAGATAGTGATAGTACAAAAAAGTGACCTTCAAAGATAAAAAGTCCTTTATTAATTTTCTACAGTCAATCAGAACCATCCTACATGGTATCACATCTATTTGAACGCTTTAATTTCATCTTCAAAGGCCAGTTTCAGATTTTAATAAGAGCATACCTTATGGTGAATTTAAAATTGCATGACGTTTTTTTTTTTACAAATGGTGCTGTATCCAAATCTCCAGGAAAAAAATGATCTTTTTTTTTAGATAATGCATGGGAAAATATTTTGCATGATCGTTTCCATAGTCTGCCAAAATAGTTTTTTTTTTTTTAAAGCTGAGACCATCGCCTTTTTATATGTTCACTTTGACACTTGTCAAAAACCAACTTGTTTTCTTTAATTTTTCCTTCACTTAGCTTTGCATAAGAAATTCTTTTGCTCCTATGTCTCTGAAGGAACACAGGCTTTCTGCATGCTTAAATTCTCGACTTAAAACCATTACAAGATATGAATGCATGTATGAGAAGTTTCTATCTCCCATTCATTTATGGCAATGTCCCTGCTTTAAACAGTAAATCAAAAACATCACATTGCTAAGCTTTTCAAATGTGCTAGGTAAGGTCTATTTGCTGTAGGCTGACTGTAAAAAGTTCTAAGAAAACTTCACTTCAAGTCATATTTTTAATGCTATTACCCTATCTAATAATACCAACAAAATAATTTCCATGTGTGTTGCATAATAAACAGCAAATTGTATTTTATAACCAATACAGTAAGCTCTAACAGCAACGTGTATGCTAAAAATGGTTTACAAATGCAAAAGAAGTACAAATATTTGCTTGTGGTCACAGCAGAAAATTGATCACTGGCATTATACAACATACATACGAAGGTTGATTTATGAAATGCAGATAGGCTGTTCACTTTGCAAGAAAAGTTTTTTTGCTACGGAATTTTCCTCAGAGCTTAGAGTTTGGTGAAATTTCACTTTGCGAAGAGCACCTAATCATGTGCATGGAAAATAAAAAATAAAACAGCATTCTTGCTTGTACATGATTGGATGATGGAAGCCATCAGAGCTTCACCTCATTCACTAAGCTCCAGGGCAAAATACATGAAAAGTGCACTTTCCCTTCCAAAGTGAACAGTATAGTTACCTTTAGTAAATCAACCCCAAAGAATCTACAAATGTAGCATATTTCTTATGCTGGGACAACAAACTGCAAATTTATGAAGCTGGCACCCAAGGATGGCTCACTAAAAATAGGATCTGAACATCTATGCATAGGGGACAAGGAGCTATATATAATGCAAATGCTCTTTCACATTGAAGTCCTTGTTTCATATAAAACATGAAAACATGCTATGGGCAACTGCTAAGCTTTAGCTTCAATTTGTGTAACTCAACCTCATGTGTGTCAATAAAGCTGACTTGATTTTCCTTGAGTGCTTTGGCTTCAGGCAAATATTTGGATTCTGGCATTGCAGTATAAACACTGTTATTGGAACTTACTTTATGGGTGGTGTATTGTATATTAGACATCACATTTTTTTGTTTATTTTGCAATTAGCAGATACTTTATTATTATTAACCTCCCTGGCGGTATTCCTAAGTGTAGCTTGGGGTTAATTATCAGTGCCAAAAGCGGTAACCCCGAGACACACTCGGGATTACCATGTGGCGTTGCTCTGGGATCCCTGTTCCACTTACCTTGTCCTTCGCTCCCGCGATGTCCCCCTGCAGCGTCCCCGGCCATCTCCTCCAGCTGATGCTGGCATCCGTCTTCCTGGTTCCAGTCCCTGCGAGTGTCAGGACGTACAGTGGCCGGAACCGGTGGGAAATTTAAAAATTTTAAAAAGTGACATTGACGAAATACACTAAAATCACATAGCAAAACATTACTGTTTCAAAGCATCTCACATACATTTTGTCCCGAGTGCTTTGTCCTGTGCCCTGCCTGCATTTTTACTGTTCTTTCTGCCTTGAAACTGAGAAACGTCCATGGGGTCCAAAAAGCGTCCCTTTATATCAAAAGCAGTTTTAGACCAGCTAGAGAACAGCAATAGTAAATCAGAACCACTTGCAGAATTGAGTGATAATGATTTGTGGGGAAATTCGTCATCAGACACTGAAAATGATTTTGCGACTAAGCTCAGTGATGTGCGAACTTGGCGCTATGATTCAAATTTCAGTGATTTTGGTTTGATTATAATATTGAATTAAATTTATTATTATTATATTATTATTTTTTATTATTATTTATTATATTATAATTTATGATTTTGTGTTTCAAATTTTATCATACCCGGGATGTTTACTAGACTCTTGTTCAGACAGATTTCAGTGAGTTACTCCTAAAAATTACAGGCCTACAATAAAAAAAGATATATATTTCCATTAAAAAAAAGTACTGCTTTGAGCACAGAAATATTGACATATACCGCTAGGGAGGTTAATATTATTATTATTGCATGTGAAGGTGTATGCTTATTATTAGTTATGCGCGTTAAGACCTTTAAATTCTAGAGTTATTTCTTAATAAAAGAATCTGTTTGAAATAAGCAACTCCTTGACTCCAGTTGCCTCTTATACATTCCTAAAAAAACCCATTTCTTTAAGAGCTTCAAGAAAACAACTGCCGATATATAAGCACACTAAAAGAAGCCCAGCCCATAGCAAAAACAGTTAAAGTAAAACTATAGGTAAAACTTTTTTCATTTTGGATAGAACAAGGAGGGGTTGTTACCCATAAACCTTTTTCACCATATGTGTCCCATTACAGAGATTTCCCTTTACTTCCTGTCCCATAGCCAAATAGGAAGTGAGAGAAAATTCCTGCAAATTAAGGGAATTTCTTGGAGCTCCCGAGGTCACCAGAACTAGTGTCCCCACTGAAAGAGTCCCCCTCTCTTACTTTTCTTACCAAAATTTGGTATTTTCTTTTACTTTCACTTTCAATGATAATGGTAAACAGGACTAATAGAAAGGGTGAATCTCCCTAATGGGGACACAGCAATAAAAACTGACAGGTGTTCTAATTCCTCTCCACTCTATCCAAAACTAAAACTAAAAATTGCCTTTAGTATTACTTTAATACATTTCTGCCCCACAGCCTGCTCTGTTGCAGACCTGCCAGCCTCTATGTCATTTTCTCATGTAATGGATAAGGAGCAGCAAATATCCCAGCTTCCAGAGGGGAAACAGGCATCAAACACTCTCAGAAGTAGTGGATGCTGAAGAAGATCTTTAGCAAAGTCTGCTCTGTAACAGAGTTAAGATCAGTGGTGTGCACAGCGAGACATTTCTTTTAAAAAATGTACTTTTTTTTATTTTTACAGGTGCTCTTAAAAATTGTTTTTATCTGGTGACAGATTTCTTCATCAACACAGTTAGTGTTGATAGGGGAATTGCTCCCACAGCGCCATTGTGTTCTCTGCTAGGGGGGAGCTTTTCCGGCCTGCAGAACACAATAACTACTGCAACGGCTATAGCCACAGGCAGTAATCACATGTAAAAATAATCCAACAGGCTGATTGTACCCAAGCCAATCGATGAATTGACTTGAGTACAATCAACCTGCCCATACATGAATCGAATCGCGGCTGGTCCCTGCTGAAGTAGCTAAATTTCAATCCATGTATGGCTGGCTTTAGTTCTCCTGCAACATATTACAAATACTGTAACTGTTCAGCCTGAAGGTGAAGTTCACATAATTCAGCTTCCTGCAATGGGGTGGCAATGATGCTGCACTACTTCTGAATCCAGAGCAGGGCTGTTACGCTCATGTAGGTTGTGCCTACTTGCTCCAGAGTGGGGTGAGAAAACACTATTGATTTCATTACTGCTCACTTGGAATAGAATCAAATTGAGCAAGGAAACACCCCTAATCATGCTTAACCCAATTTTCCAATATACCCCTTTTCCTTTCTTAAATGTGGCCGAATGTAAGCAATGCAGTGTATCAGTTTTAGTTATTCTTACATATAAAATTTACTACCTGATTACTTTTCTATGCTCCTTTGTTCCACACTCCTGGGCACTGCCATATTGTTTATGAAATCAGTGGACCATACAAACTCACTTTTGACTCTTCTGATGCTGTGCTGTAATTTCACACAGTGGTCTGAGAATTTCAGTCCATGCTCATAGTTGGCTGAATTAGCTAATGAGCCTCTCTGGAGAAGGAGTTGTCTTTCTGAAGTGCACTCCTGAACACTGCTAATTGAAATTTCATGGGAGAGAAAGAGAATGGTGATGCAATGGGTGGTGGGAGAGGGGAGGTAATAGATTGGATTTGACATACCAGAAAATGCTGGTTTGGAGACAGACAAGCAAGGCCAGTAACTCTGACTAGACATAAAAGATTTCTGCAGCAGCAGGGTTAACTGTAAATTCACTTTCACTTTCAAGAGATTTTAGCAATGTGTTTAGCAAACTCTGAAAAAAACTGGGCACTTCAAAGTACATCTTGCACTTCGTAGAAAGCACCCTGTACTATATACCAGAAAACAACAATTTTTTATTATTCATAAACAAATAGGTCTTTATTGGCAAGGATAGTGTGACAACAAAAACTTAGGGGTAACTACGAAAAACACTGCACTGGCAGTTTATAGTTTGTCTATTGTGTGGATTACCTCTTTATATATTTAAATATATATTTATCAAGAAGGGGTTAAGACATAGGTTTCCTTTATTTTATAAAAATATATGCATTCTTTTGTACAATGAATCCCAGTTTTCATAGAAAAGCAGCATTAATTGACATAATGACATTGTGACATATGGGTATGCCATTGTGTACTACTCGATACACTACTCAGTACAATAGTAAGTGCATATTTAAGTGCTTTTTATAACATAATTGAACATTTATGTAGTATTCTGTAAGAAAAAAACAAATTATATTTTATTATATGATGTCAAACTCCATATCCAGTGAACTGTATGATATATTTTTCAGCATTCACTTGGATCTAAATTATAGCCATTTGTTCTAAGCTAAGGATTATAATAATATAAACCTTGAACCTCTAATTATGGCTCTACAATGCTTGCCTCAAAGTTCAATTTTCTCTTATGTTTTCAAATAAAAGATGAATTTCACATGCTTGAGAATCCATTCTCATTGCAGAAAAGCTTGTTCACAAGCAAGTTCTAACAGCATTATTACACACAGTGTAACGTGGTACATGGGAACCTAGAAAAAGCGTTACTTAAAGGGCTATTTATCCTGATATTCAAGCTATTTCATTACAAAATGTACAGATAATATTCACAAATATGTATGTAAAGTTGCCCAAATCTCTGTAGAAATTTAGATATTTAACATTGTTTTAGCACTGCTTTGCAACAGTGTATTGTCTGCCAACACTTGTGAAACACATAGGGATTGATTTACTAAAACCGGAGAGTGCAAAATGCGGTGCAGTTCTGCATTGAAACCAATCAGCTTCCAGGGTTTTTTTTGCCAAAGCTTAACTGAACAAGCTGACTGGATACCCTGCACAGCTGCACCCAGATTTTGCACGCTCCAGTTTTAGTAAATTGACCACATAGAGTGATCACCACTACCATGTCCAATGTTGAGCAGCTTACCTATTGCTTGGTGAACACAGGGGGGCACTTGCTTAGCACAGGCACCATTTAGAGAACACTATATATTTCCCCAATGGATGCAGTGTTCTCTGTTTGGATGGGGTGAGAGGGTGAAGCTGTGACATCACAATCTCCATCTGATCCAATCAGAGAACTTGAGCAACTGAGTGAGAAAACTTCTGCATTCAGTAGACAGCAGCTCTGCACAGGACCCAGTGGTGATCACTGTAGTAGCTGTGCCAGGTTCCAGGGGGATTTTCCAGGTATGATACCTAGATATATACAAGTCCAAGGGTTGGGGATACACACTGAATAGACCAGAAGTCATTGTGGATTGATGAATCCATGCTTTATGGGTGATAGTCAGCTACATTTTTCCAAAGTGCACCTTTGAGATGCAACACTTTGGATGAACATATATATATATATACCAAGCCCAATGGCAGGTGTAGGTTGCAGGATCTCCCACAGGCCGTGGAAGCCTGTTTTTGACTGCCCTTCAGTGCCAGCCCCTCTTCTCTAAATGTATTTATTTATTTCAGGTACTTATATAGCGCCGTCAATTTACGCAGTGCTTTACATACATATATTGTACATTCACATCAATCCCTAACCCTCAAGGGGTGTACAGTCTAAGGTTCCTAACTTACATTCATGCATACACATACTAGGGACAATTTAGACCGGAAGCCAATTAACCTACCAGCATGTCTTGGGAGTCTGGGAGGAAACCAGAGAACCCAGAGGAAACCCACGCAGGCACAGGGAGAACATGCAAACTCCAGGCAGGTGGTGCCGTGGCTGGGATTTGAACCAACGACCCTAGTACTGCCAGGTGGAAGTGCTAACCATTTAGCCACTGTGCTGCCCAAGTATCAGCTGAGTCCTTAGAAGTTTACAATACATACCGTATACCACTGAGATTAGAAAAGTCCCAAAGAAGCTGATTTTCTTCTCAAAATGCGTAGACTTTGTCTCTCATCTCTATGTATTGTGTTTAAATAAGATGTCAAGATTCATCTGTGTACTTCCTGTGCAAATCTATTTCTAAAACACATGTATATCTAATATGTTTTTCTTGGATTACTCTTTTTGTATAAACCTACTATCAGAGGTGTACGTGGAGTCCCCAATTTTTTTCTATGTTTTTGTTTACTACTTGATTATGGTGATATAGAGTATACCTCCTATAGTATCTTTTGAATTATACATCACCCCTCCTTTAACTAATTGAATCCAGGATTTGTGTGATTCCCTCTACTCTCATATTTTTTTTTGGTCAAATTAAAATGGTGAACTAGGGCACTTTAGCTATCTAGGATCTGCATGTGAGATTCCTAATTTGTGGCAGGTCTCTCACAAAGATTTACTACTTATGCAAGTATAGACAGCACATCCTGTTTAATAATTTGGCAGACCTGCTTATGTCTCATCCTGTCTGTTCCAGAACTGCTCTGAAAATGTAGTCTACATTACAGGAACAATTATTTAT